CCATTGGCTTGTTATGATCTCCATGGTAACCACACATATGTGGCTTTTACTCCTTGACGTGATAAGTTAATGAGATAAAAACAGACTGAAAAGTCAGCCTCAGACAAATAGCTGTTGTGCAAAATCTTTAAGTCAAATCTTAAAAAATGTTAAACCAAGCAAAAAACTTTAGTGGTTACACATGATTTGTTTTTAATGTTCCTACAGAAGATAAGACAAGTATAAAGACCATTTTAAGATATTAATTGGAGATAAAATACAAATTATGTTGGTGAAAGATTAGATGTGCACTCTGTATTATGAGGCGATTTGAGAAAATCAAGTGTTGTAGCAGTGAAAGGCACACCAGGTGAAAAAAAAATCCTTGTATCTCAAAGTTAATAACCAGTAAGAGTTTGTTTACAAGAGTTTTGACATTTCTTTTTACACATTTTAAGTTGGTGTGAAAAATCTCCAAAAATCATTAAACATAATTAAATAAAAAAACCAAAATATATCAAAATGCCAGTTAAAACATGTAAAGTCCAACTTTCTGCAACCCATTTAAACTTTGACTGATGTCTCTACTGTGAAGTATGCCTCATCTACAGAGCTCCAAAGAGGGCTGTGTTTTCAAAATCCCTCTCTCATTCACACCTAGGAAGAATTTTAGAATTATCAATCAGCCTAACATGCATGATTTTGGTCTGCGAGAGAAAGCCGGAGTACCCAGAGAAAACCCACGCATGCAGGGAGAGAACATGCAAACTCCACCCAGAAAGGCCCTCAGGTGGATCCAGCAACCTTCTCGCTGAGAGGTGACAACTCTACCAACTGCACCACATTTCAATTTAATTAACTTCATAAAAATGAGAGTGGGAGGAGCATTAGTCTTTGAAGAAGGCTGTCTATTGGCATCCTTGAATCTTCATTTAGGTTTTAAATGTATACCAATCAAAAATATGTCACTTTCAGAAAGTGATGCTTGTAGTCACGTTTTAAGAACAGCTGAACTAGTTTTATCTTAATACTAGGTCTGTCGCAATAAACAATAAATCAATCGCATGATAAATGAAAATTATTGACCCCATTTTTATTCATCGTTTCTTCGTGTCGACATCTTTCAACTGAAGTTTTATAAGCTCTTCACTGACCCCTCTCTTACCCATTTCTCTTTAAAATCTGTTTTAACCATCCAAAATCGCGTTTTTGGATCGTTAAAAGCAGCTAAGTTGAGAAGCTAAGCTACAAGCTAAGCTAACATGCCGACCTCGGGGGGGAAAAAAAACCTTTATCTTGTCGAGCTCCAAAAATTCACCATTGAAACCAGTGCCTTCATGTAAAAAGTTGTTTTTCTCTGCAAAAAGAAACTGAGAACTTGTTTACAGATTTTTTTTAATTAAAAGTTTTGTGTGAAAAATGCTATGCTAAAGAGCTCAAACCACACCGAGGGTCCGCCATGTCTCAATGTCAACCCATGTCACGTCAAGGGGGCTCCCTCCCATTTTTCTTAAAGAGACA